TTGTTAAGATAGTTAAAATTGTTTAGCTAGCTTAGATAGTTTAGACGATTAAGATAATTAAGATAGTTTTTGGATTGTTTAGATAATTTGTATAGTTTAAATAGTTTAGATAGTTTAGATAGTAATAAAAACATGCAAGCTCAAATAAATGAAAACATACATACAGATACGACGCAACGTAAAATTATACATGTATACGCGCAAGCATACAGCAAAATAAAAAAGATGTATACAATACATACATACAAGTACATACAAAAACACACATCAACATACAAACAAACACACGTACAAAACATACAATATATAACCTGCATTCTAACAAACAACCTCATTTAGACATAGTTATCCATACGGCACAGGATCGTTGTACTTCTCATACCCGTAACAAGCAAACAATTGCGATTTCTATGCACAACAACATTTGTCTTTTCGTAAATCACAACTATACACACACATCCCACACATACACACGCGCACACACACATGTACAAGAACGCACACACACACACACACACACAAACAAACGTACAGGCACGGAGGTATATATACATACACACATATAAATATATATACATACGTGAGTACGTACATGAGCGTGCATTTAAATTGCGTATTAAATGCTTTCTATAGTAGGTTTATAACCGTACATCATTGATGATAATGTTTTATTAGGAGACTTTTGTGTAACTTTTGAAATAACTAAATTACTAAACGAATGAATCAATAAAAATAATTATTTAAGAAAAATTATAAATAATACCAATAAATAAAGAACAAATATGTAGAATAATAAAAAATAATTGATTGAGTGAGAAAAAACAAACTAAAGCTAAGAGGACAAATTAACGCGCATACTCAAACTTATATACGCATACATATACATACATACATACACAGACACATACATACATACACACATACATACACACATACATACATATCGTCAAACGGCTAAGCAGACTAATTCTAGAATGACAACCTTTACCACATTCGGCACAGATAAAGACTGTTGGCTGCTTTAGTTTTAACCAATGCCCGGATCAGAGTAGACTCTAGAGGACATGACAACATACACACATAGATACATAGGCATATATTCATAGATACATTAGTTCACCTCAGGCCAAGCCACACAAGCCACAACCAAAGCCAGTGATTTGTAGCTATGCCGACAGCGTAAGCCAACTAGCCCAACGTGCATTCTTTTTGATTTTTTATGGCGATTGAAGCAACGTCTCACTGAGGCATTGATCCAAATAATTAAAAAGTTTTGAGTCTTGTGTGACAATTTGTTTCCTGTTTACCGATGCTGAATTGTTGACGGCTTTGGAGTCTGACTGTTTGATGATGCACTGTTTGAAAATCTCCGAGATGGAATTCATTTCTTCCGACGACTGTAAGAGCAAAAAGGGAAGGAGAGCCCCTCCATACAAAAAGTTACCAGAGGGTAACATTTTTGGGGAACGCATGGCATACTACAGCCATCTCAACTGATGTTGTACACAAAATTTAAACATTTCAAACGACTTTGTGTATGTACCATTGCTCCATGATTGTAATCCAAAAATGGTTAGCAAGTGAAACTCCTCTAAAGTCTTGAGGTATGGCTTGAAATGTGTCCTGACCTTACATAAATATATACCCAAATACAAACATACATACATATTTGCAATCCTACACACTTTCTCATCTACATACAAACACGCACGCACACGCACACGCATACACACACACGTGCGTACAAATATGTCAACTTGTACTAACTTCATTGCATGCCTCAATAAATGAATGTTGATTTTCGCGCCTGTTCCGTCTATCAAAATATTGACGTTGCGTCGAATTGTGTTGATGTTGTTGTTGATGTTGTTGTTGATGATGTTGTCGTTGTTGTTGAGGATGTTGTTGTTGTTGATGATGTTGTTGTAGGTTCGGTTGATGTTGATTTTGTTCCAATATAAATTTTTTTTGGCTCTGCAAATTGTTTCCAAATATGTTATGATGATGTTGTGGTTTGGCGTTTTGTTCACTGTGTGTTGAATGAATGTTGTAGTAGTAGTTGTTGTTGTTATCAAACTTGTTTCGCTGTTGCACGTTGAAATCGTTTTGTTGGTTGTTGTTGTTTTGTTGTTGTTGATGTTGTTGATGATGATGTTGTTGTTTGCTGTCGGCAACACTTCGTTTGTCGTCGTTTATTTTCCCAGACATTTCAAACGTCATCTTGTACTGAATAGGAATGGGAGACCTGAAATTGATTGAGTACGTAGAAGTGTTTTTTAATTTATAAATTATTTTATAAATTGTTCTAAACAATTATAAAATATTCACTATATGATTATAATTATGTAGACTTAGATAATGACAATTTATCACATTTAAAATAATATTGTTATGAGTATTATGATTATTGTTATGATTATTATTGGAGGATTTTTAATTTTCTTTAATTTTTCATATATTCAAAAAGCGCTGCTGAACAGAGAACTTTGAGTTGCTTTCAATTTGGGAAGAAAAATATCATCATGTCCTTATTTTATTATTTCTTTCTTTCCTTCTTTCTTTTTTCTGTCTTTCGTTCGTTCGTTCTTTTGTTCGTTTCGTTCGTTCGTTCGTTCTTTTGTTCAGTAGCAGTAGCAATAAAACAATTCAATCCAAAATTGCACGCATGGCAGGTCTGACGACTTGAGGAAAGTAAGACAAATTAGACTGAAGAAGTGCAGTTACGCCAATCCGTCACTCATTAACCGGGTTCGTATGCAAACGGGTCTCTTCGAACAATTTTGTGTGTTTGATAATTGTATATGAAAGTATATCTAAAGTCTAAATTAATAAAGCATTGAATATTTTTTGTTGGTTGGTTGATTTGCTTTAATGAATTGATTGTCAGAAAAATTTTATTAACTTCAAAATAAATTAATGAAAAAAAATTTTTTAAAGTTGTTCATAAGTTAGAAATAAAATATTCATATATTAAAAAAATGGCTTATAATGTTCAGGGAATTATTTTTTAAAAAATGTTATTAGTTTTTAAGACGTTTATTCAAATATTTTTGATAAAAAAATTAGGAATAAGAAAAAAAGTAATAGAGAAAGTGCCTGAATGATTAGTAAGAAAATAAATTATTACATTTTAGATAAGCACCGAGATAATAACGCTCCTTTACGGTCGGATTCTCATTTCATTGATAGACTGGATGTGAAATGCATTAATAACATCTAGTGGAACATTTCGTGAAAGAAATTTTTTTAATTCAATTATTTCAATTGTTTTATTTTCTGTATCTAGTATGATTTAATTATTTTATTTTCAAAAATTTCTATTATTTCATCTATATAGCAGTAAATAACACACGAAAAATATTAGAGTATTTTTATCATATTGTTGTAACCCGTGACCTCGTAACTACTAACACCGATGTAATAACTTCAAACATCTCTATATTTCCAACACCAGTGTTGTAGCTCCCAACGATCGTCAAGTGTTCGTCATTCCGTAGGTTCAAGATTTCCGATAGATGAATACAACTGATTCAAAGGCAAACTTTGTTGAACGTTTATTTGAATGCCAACAGTAATAGTAACAATAAACTAATCCAAGTAACTACATAAATCACATTCACGACTCCGCTTTCTCTTCGCTTGTAACCTCCACTTAAAACCTCGATATTGTCGGATTGCAAATCGTAACGATTAAAACTAACAATCCTCAATAAGTATGATAAATGTAAAACACCACAAGCTAACAAAGTGATTTGTGCGGGCTATATAAGAAACTGCGATAACTCTTCTGATAGGTATTCTAACTGCCGATGAGTCCCCGGTAGAGAGGAAACACGTATCCTGGTTCGGTGTTTCCATACATAAGGGCAACCTTATGTATTTATAGGATAATTATAGTCAATTTTTAGCATTCATTAACATTATTAGAGATTTTTTTTGGTTTTTCATGTAAACTCCAAAAATTGTTTACAATTGCAGTTAAACTTTTGTGCCACAAAGGTTGTAACATTCCCAACACTCACTACATTGCGTTGGCATATATTTTTGAAAAGACAGCATTTGAAACAGGTCACCGCACAATCACAAATCATCTCCAGGCACCTCTGCCTAGTGAGCTAACGCGCTGGCCGTGATCTAAATGAGAAATAAATGTGAAGAACTGATGAACAAGGTGATTAGAGAGTCAAACAGCAACTTTTGATTTAAGAATGACACCATTGATTCATCTCTGATTGGATAGATGAATGGATGTTCATTATAATATGGCAAAATAATAAATACATGCAAAATATAAATTTCATACATGCATGTGCATAATTTTATTAAATATTTTTTTTATATTATATTGCAAATTGCTGAAAATGAGAGAGAAAGAGAGAGAGAAAGAGAGAGAAAAAGTGAAACAGGATAGGCCTATTTAGAAAAAGACAATCATATAAAGTAAGAAAAGGGAGAGAGAAGGAAAAAAAGAAAAAAATAAGAAAGAAAAAAGTGGAATAGAAGAGTAAAAGAGAAAGTAAGAGAAAGAAAAAGAGGAAAAATTGAGTTTAGAGAACTGAAAAAATAGTTTCTACGAGTCTAAAGTGAGTCATATACGTCATCTATAGTCCAATTAAATTTACGAAATTTCATAAATTTCTTATCTTCAATATTTCACGCTGACCGAATCCAGCGTATCTCTCTATGGCGGATTATCTGGAAGCAGCCAGGCACATGTTGAAAATTTTATAAATATTTTTAAGTGTTGAACATTTCAGAGCATATATATTCACGATTCAGAGTGATATCTTATCGTGATATTATATGTTTCAACTTTAAGATTTTAATTAATTTGATTGGGAAATATTTACTCTGCATAAATAACTATAAAAATTATTTAATTTATAATTTTATTCAAAAAAATTATTTGATTTATAATTTTATTCAAAAAAATTATTTGATTTATAATTTTTTTCAAAAAAATTATTTGATTTATAATTTTTTTCAAAACAATTTCTTTTTCAATATTGCATGTACTTGACAGGGAGGGTTTCTTTTTGTATTCGAGCTTCGCTACCGTAACTATTGACTAACACGGGGGTGGGCAAACTTTTCACTGAAAGGGCTGTATTGAGAACTTTTTGACCTTTGAAGAGCCGCATATGCACATGAATAGCTAATTTATTAAGATTTGTAGCATCTTTTTGGTCATAATGTCTGGCTGACGACCTTATTTTGGCGAAAAAGGGCCGCATAAAATAGCTCTTCACGGGCCGCATGCGGCTCGCGAAGAGCCGTAATTTGCCCTAAAAAAAAGGGGGTGGATTTCTACTTTTTGCTGTAAAATATTTGGCAGTGTGATGTTTATAACCAAGCGAGAATTTTCACTACAAAATTTAAAAAATTGAAATAAAACGAAATGTAATATTTCATTTAAAAATAAAATCTCCACGCATAATTATTAACAACAAAATAAATAAAGTTGATGAATGTAGATTGACGTAATAACAATTGTTGATGTTCATATGTGACGAGATCATTTCAATAATCCACGAAAACAAAAATTTTGATGTATGCCATTATATTGTTGAAGATCTTTCGTGTTTCCGTTCTGTGGCATGATGTTGTGTATTGTTGAGTGAGGTTGTTGTTGTGTTGGTTGTCGTTGTGAAATGCTTTCTTTGTCTGTGTGTCATTGTGTGTTGCGCGTCAGTCGCCCCTTGTTGCATACAATATTTCATGTTCATGTGACGGACATTTATTGCCGGTCAGTGCATATGAAATGACCATGCAGGCACAACTGAAATGAACTGACGTATGGTGGGCATTTTTTTTGGTCTGGGTTTTATGTGATCATATTTTATTGCTCGTTCAATTTTACAGATTGGTTGGATAAATTGGAAAATTTCTGTTCCTACTTTCAGTCAAATGTGGAGATGACCCCCACCCATTCAAAACAAGTCAAATGTGACTGGCGTCAAATGTCACTTGGTTAAATTGATTAATATCTGTAACATAAATGAAGTTTAAATTTCTAAAATAACAAAAGATTAGTAGATATATTTATGCAATTGGTTATTCTTGAAAAATGTACATGATGAAAATATGAAAAAAAGAATAAAAAAGAAAAATTCTTTATAATGAAGTTGAATTTTTTAAAACATTAGCGACTTCTGGATGCCCAAAGAATCAAAATAAATGTTGATAAAGTACTGGATCACCACTTATTTTAACTTGGTGTCATTTGAAATAGAAATTTGTAAAACATTGTGAATTATAAAATAAACATTACGCAATCAAATAAATTCAAAATTCAACAATTGGATAACCACAAACACAATTGGTAAAATTTAGGTAAACATAAAAATGACCATTTTATGACAAAAATAGCAAATATATCGATTCCATATACAAGTAGCAATTTAAATCTTTAAAATTGGATTGTGGCACGGTCGTAAGGTCCGACTTTAAGCCATTTATAATGGTTTTGACATTTTGACAAAAGTCAAATGAAGAAATACTCTTGTCCAGATAAGTACTGTAGTGCAATAAACGTGAGTATCAGCATGTGGAGGAGGTAAACATTTGAAAAGAACTATTTTTCTTGATTTTTCTTATATTAAATTCTTCTGATGCACCCGTCACTTATTAAATTTTGTATTCACCGGTGTGTTCTAATGTTGAAAATAGTAGCCAAATATAAATATTTGAATGTTTACTAGTTTACCGCTTTTTAAAATTACAATGTTGTTATTTTTTTTGTTTTAAAATTATATAAATATATATTTCCAAATAATATTGTACTTATCCCATCAAACTGTTTATCAAACAATTATGCTAATTAAATTTTTTGATCAGAAGTTGCACACTTTTCACTATACCAACTGAGTTCATTCACAATTTTCATAAATATCATTATTTATATACCCCAAGAAAACTTGTAGACAATTTCCAACAATGAAAGAATACAACAACAATGCCAACTAATTGAAACAGATTCGCAAAAAGAGTTACATAGCCACAAAAACACATAAAAATAAAAATGAATGCCGATAATTATGCAAAAACACACAGATATTTTTGTTGCTAGCGGCTATGCTTCCATATTATTTATTACAAAGACCTTTTAATGGCCTATTGTCATGCACGTTAATATATGCTTACCTGTCCAGATATAACACTTTAAACTGTCTTCTAGCACGAGAATGTTTACATAAACATAAACTGAACATCAAAGGAAAAGAATTATTTATAGTTTTATTGTAACACTTATTCTAATTTAAATATGATCTGGCATATAATGAAGTGTAGGCCAAAATAAATTTAGTCAAGTCATGAAAGTTTTCAATTTATGAAGATACAACTTAGTATTATTTTTATTTAATAATTTGTTGAAATATTTGCTCATTCATTCATTTTTTAACAATTTTATTTCTTGAAAAATAAAATTAGGTGCAATCCTTAGCAATAAATGCTAAATTTAGGTGCCCTCAAATTTAAATTGAACCAATTTAAAAAATAACAAAATAAAATGAAATTATAGTTCGTTACATCGACCTCTACAAAACCCGATTGTAATTTGTCGTAATTGAAATGTGGTGATATTCAAGAAGTGACACAAGGACTTCACGAATGTGATAAAATTGAAACTATAATAAAAATTATAGTGTGCTTGTTCAGTTAGCTTAAACAACAAAAAAGAATCTATGCATGTTAAGATAATTAGATCAAAATAAGCAATATAGTATATAATATAATAATTTTTAATAATAATTTTTATGATGAAATAAAGTAAAAACTTAAAATAAAAAATGTACATAAAAATATCTTAATATAGTAAAGCGACAGTTAAAGCAAACTAAGAAAAACAAACAAAAAATGTTTATAATTGACTTTAAAACAGACTGTAAGACTCGATATTCTTCGGGTAAAAAGGAAGACAGTTCCATGTTTTGGAGCGTAAAAACAGAAACTTTTACTGTTCCTCTTGTTGTTTTCAATTGGAGTTTTAAATTTTGTGCTGCTACTGGTTCTGGTTGATTTTGGTTCCCGGAAGTTATCAAAAGCTATTTTCAAGTAATCATATCTCTCTTATCAATTCTATAATTTCTTTTGTATAAATACAGACAAACTTTGTAACTGTTTATTTCGTAGGTGGAAAGAAGATTATTGTCCAAAATGACGTCATAATTCGTTGGGGGATTTTTAATAAAAGAAAGATTTTTTAAACGTTTTTTTGAGTGGTAAAAAGTTCTTTTAAACTATTTTTGTTGAAGCTTTTAAACTAAACTCCGTTCAATCACAATATATCCTTTGTAACATAAAATCGCCACATAAAAGATTTTATTAAAAAAAAACTCACCTGCAGTAATTTTTCCTGATCTCCCGTTTCGCCATCCCTTTCTCGTTCTTGCCATTACCATCATTTGCACCATTGGAATATTTGCCTTCACCGTCCCCATCGTCGTTGTCTTCATCATCTTCATCATCATCCTCTTCGTCTTCGTCAGGAGAAAAATAATGTGGTGTGACGTCAGAATAGGTTGGTACGATGTTGATGTTCTGAACTGCCACGTTAATTCGAATGCCTGCGTGTTTTGTTGTAGCGTTCAATTTATGCTTGTTTGTCTGTATATTTGGTTTTGTTTCTGCGTTTGTATGTCTTGTTTGTATGTTTTATATACAATTCATGTTAGTATGTTTTAGTATATATTCAAATGATATTTGAAGGCTTTTTAATTTTATTTAGTTGATCTTTGGATGTTTTGTTGATCCTGTTTGTTTTTTAATGCTGTTTGTATATTTTGGTATGTATTCAAATGATGTTTGTACATTGTTACACTGCTCGTTCTTCACCATCCTGCGGCGGTTACTAAACGAACAACATGGTTTCTTCTTGGGGAAAATCTTCCTGTTTCTGTAAACTCGCTCGCTCAACGTTAAACAACTCGATGTTGTTCATGTACATAAAATAATGAGAGATGACTTTAATTAGCGACTTACGTGTGTTGAGTATTAGTTAGTGTTTAAAATGTTATAAAGTTTAATAATCGAAATCGAACGAGAATCGACTCACCCATTATTGTTAATAATATTTTATTAAATATATTTTAACGAAGTCAAATAAAAAACATTAACAAACAAAAAGCGTGTTAAAAAGGTAACTCTAACTTAACTCTTAACTGATATAACACACACTCCTCTGCTCAACTCATGTGCTCGCCTATCATATACTTGGAGACCTTGCTCACTTGAGCTTAACTAGTTGTCTAACTCCTTCTAACCAGTCAGTCCCTATTGTATGTCACCTCATTCTTATTATATAAAGTATTACATGCTCTGATTAATTATACGCTATATTATCTTATATTGAGCTGCTTTATGTCTGTAAATTTGCTGTCTCGTCGTGAACTACCTCAATAACTTCAATCAATCAATTAGCTTATAAAGCGCTATTTTCGCGATGTTCAACAGCGTTCCTCAATGAATTTTGAAAACAGATGGGTCTTGAGATCCGCTCTGAACTTCGCAAGTGATGGGGAAGTAGTCAGAACTTAACAATTATTATAACTTAACTATCATTATAACTGCATACTTCAACACATATCTATATATTGATACAACCTATATTTACTTATAACTCCTAACCTAAATTATCATCTGCATAAAATTCCCTACTTTAAAAAAAACTTAATTTTTCCTCAAATTGCACATACATGGTTAAAGAGTAAAAATAAAATATATATGAGCTAGTGCAAATGCTTAAACATGCTTGCAGTTCAAATGTATAAACATAAGTTCAAAGGTCGTGCAGTGCAAATAAACGAACAAATGCATGCTCTTATTTATCATCTTATTTTGTATCGACTTAATTTGTGCACGATTTGTATGCTTAAATGTTTTGTGTGAAAGATTAATTTTGTATTTGAATGATATTTGTAGGTTTTCTATTGCTTCAATGTTTGTATGTTTCTGTTTGTTTGCATACAATTAACGTTAGTATATTTTGTATGTATACCATTGACAATTTTTTGTTTGTATGCTCTGTTTGTATTCAACGGATGTTTGTATAATTTTGTTTGCAAACAAATGATGATGATTTTTATCAATGTTTTCGTTTCAAAAATGTTTTTGTACAAATTAATTTTCTTTCTTTCTTTCATGATTGATGTGTTTGCGTGCGTTTTGACTCCTGTCTAATAATAAAATGGTTATTTGGAATGTTTTTGATGATGACGAATATTTTGATGATAATGATGATTATGATGATGATGATGATGAATGTTGTGATGATAATGATGATGATGAATGTTGTGATGATAATGATGATGTATGTTGTGATGATAATGATGATTATGATAATGATGATAATGATGATGATGATGATGATGAATGTTGTGATGATAATGATGATGATGAATGTTGTGATGATAATGATGATGATGATGTATGTTGTGATGATAATGATGATGTATGTTGTGATGATAATGATGATGTATGTTGTGATGATAATGATGATAATGATGATGATGAATGTTGTGATGATAATGATGATGATGATC